CTGTTTTATTAAATGTTCCCAAAGTGACTCTATCATGTAGAGTCATGATTCATCATCATTGACTTGATGGCAGTGGGTTGGTTTTTGGTGGTTGACAAAGTGACAGTAGTCATGTGGATTGATGATTCCTTAAGCTAGCTGTCTTGTAAACCCTGTAAACCAGGCCACCCTTATTTGCAGGGTCTCAGTAGTAAATTGTATAAGTCATTCAGAAATAAGCTTCTTTGTTTCTCCCCCCCCACCAAAAGTTTGGGTTTTATTATTTATGTAAGCTTCTTTTCTCCCCCTATGTCTTGCCAATCATTGCTGACACTCGGTGACAGAGTACTTTTCCACATGTAGTTTAATGTTGCCTGACTTGTGATTTCTGCCTGAATAAACCTCATCTAACAGTAGATTAATAATAGATTAAGTTTTTTATTGACTCAGGTTCTTTGCACCATATTGGCATCTGAAATAGGGGTCTGAAGGTGACCCTGAGGATTTTGGGAAGCACACATCAGTACCTGTAAAGGCATCTGGGCTTTCTGTTTCTGTGCTGTTTGTGGAGGTTGTCCAATAAGTTTCCTCTCCATTATGAATTCTGCTCTTCCATTTTGAGCTCACTGGATTTCTCTAGAGTAGGCTGAGCCTGGCCCTCTTGATGAACTAGGTTCATTTGGGACTTTTTGCTTCTTGTAGGTTAGGCATGGGATCCAAGAAGCACTGGTAAATTTTAGGTTAAAAATTAATGACACCAACTAAGAAGAATTTATTCCTACTGTGGCTATTCTGAGGAAATTTTCAGATAGAGAAGTTAAAGCATCTCAGAGGATCCCTCAAGAAATGTAGGATTCGTTGATGAGTATTTGTAAACCTCTAAACCCTCAGGGACTGAGTGTTAGTCTGGGTACTTTAGAGAAACAAATCCACAGAAACTCATGTAAAAGAGACAGTTTTATATAAAGGCTAAGTGCACATCAAGAAAACATCCCAACCCAGTGCTACCCAAGCCCCCCAAGTCCAACATTAACCTGCATGTCCTACACCAATCCACAAAGTCCTCCTCAATCTCACAAAACAGACACAATGATGCCGACTGCAGAAGGAAAGCAGAGTCAGTGAGTGTGTAAACATCTCAGCGCTGGCAGGGGTCTCCACACGGCTGCTCCAGCATCCAGGGCTGCATCGGGGTAGGTCCATGCAGCTTCTCCTCAGGGATGTCTGGCAGGAAGTGAGTCTTGCCAGCTGAAGCAGGGAACTGGCTAAGGCAGCTGCACCCTGGTCCGACCATCAGAAAACAAGAGACCTGAGAACTAGAAAGGTGAGGCTCACTGAATCATTTACCCCTCCCCCCTTCAATTAACCCCACATGTGTTTATCGGCCAGGTTGGCACAATAAACTACCTACCTCAGACTGGTAACTTCCCTTCAAAGAATGCCTAGCAAGCCTGTCAAACATGATTGTGACTGCCTCTCGTCCCTTTAGTCTACCTTAACATTCGTTACTTTTTGGCTTGTTTTCCGGATTCACAGTGTCTTTTAGCTGAACTTCCTTTCCCTCTGTCTCTAAGGCGTCCTCTTCATTGATCCCAGTCTTTCTTAGCAGACACCTTTCTAGTTCAACCATCTACTGATACCACTCCTGTGTGATCCATAAATTGGACTATATTCTTGTCCCCTTGGTCAAGAGCAAAATTATAAACTATTATAAAGGAATTTCCCAAACCCAAGGAGAAACCTTAAAAAAAATTCACTGAGGAACTTAGGATCTGATTGGAAGCAATCCAAGCATTGAAAAAAGACTGTAAAAATTCTAGAGAGAAGAATAGATTTAAAAGGGGAAACTCCAATTATGGGGTAAGTTGTTCCTGTAGTATTTGCCTGCCCCCGAACTTTCAAAACCAATAGAGCTGCAGGGAAAATCTTTGTATGCTGTAGGTATTGCTTCTGCTAGACAAAAATGGGGAAATGTGTCTCAAAATTGCTGGGTTTTGATGAACACTGAAACAACATTCTCACTATTAAGCCCCATTGATTATAATGGAGTCAACTCAAATGATAAATTATGGGAATATCTAACCAGACTCAAAAAGTCCGCAAGTCTGAATTCATTCAGATCCAAATAGCACCTATAAAAGAACACCACTCTGAGGATCAGCGCAGGCTTCCTGTTGAGAGAAATTGCTGGAATCTAATCATTTTAGGCTGTGTTCTTTGGAGAAGCAAAACCAGTGAAGCTTATATGTAAAATTTTACCAAGAGAATGGCTCACACAATTGTAGAAACAGACACGTCCAAGTCCAGGTAGGCCCAAGTCTAAGGATTAGCTGTTAGGCTGAATGTCCTCATATCTTATAAAGCTGGTGGGAATGAGGGATCCAAGATCCGCAGGATGACCATTGGGTGGTGACTGTAAAAGTGAATGAATCCAAGGCCAGCAAGTCAGATGACAAGCTGCTGATGACTCCCAAGATCAGCAGGCAGCCTGGTAGGTTGTTGGCTCAAGTCCAAAGAACTGGAAGTCAATGTGAAATTACGGTCCAACAAAAAGCACACAAGCTTTTGCACAGTGTTTTGTTATAATCAAAGCAGGCCTCACACCCAAGCAAATGTCTTTTCAATTGATAGTGATTGTGATCTAAATAAAGATGTTGAGTTCCAATCTAATCTTAACCCGTTATAGAGTCTTACATCGGATGGACTGTGATTACATTATATTAGGTCAGGTCGCGGGTGTTAATTTCCAAACCACTAAGAATACTAGAGTAGCCAAGTAGACACAAAACTTAACTATCCAAATAATTTATGCTTAAAAACTAACTCTGAGAGGACTGGACTCGTTTCTCAGTTTTACAAGTACCAGTGGCCCTAAAATTTCCAGTGTTGAAAACCTTGCATTATCTTACCCACCAGCGAGTAGATAAAGTGATCAGACTACAGCCAATTGTTGGTGTGATTGCTGTCAACCAGCACAGAAAGCTTACCTCTGCAGAGTTGTTTGTTTTTTAAAAAAAAAAATACTGAACATACTGAAGACAATTTGAAATTTCAAGGACCAATTTGAAAAACTATTTTTTCCCTCATTTTTCTTGGTCTTTTATTTCATCTTTGGAAATGTAAATGTGTCAAAATTAGGTTCCCTGGGGACATTCAGGACAAGATGGCTGACTGAAAATACACATAGCTACAGCTCTTTATAACAACCGGGAGGAAAATAATCAGGAAGAAAGGACAGGATGACCAGAGATTTCCCAGAACAGCTTTAAAATTAAGTGAGTCAAAATCCCTACCTTCCAAAAATTGAGGACAGTGCAGGGAGAGAGGAAGGAACTGACTAGTACTCAAGATGCCCACTGCTTTCCCTGATGGATCCTGGCCAATCACACTCCTGGGTGGCCCCTGTGGCACCAGTGATTAAGTTAGGGAGTGGAGGACCTACTTGGTTAGCATCCAGGCTCCTGCTTCCCCGGCTGTAGTGGCAGCAACCAAGCTTGGCGTCTGTGTCAAGGGCTTTGCTCAATCAGGCTGGGGAGTGAACCTCCATGGTGCCAGCAGTCAGGCCTCCGCTTGGCCCATGCAGCACTAGAAAGCAGATTGAAGAGCAAACCTCTGCAGGGCAAGCAACTCGGCTTGGGTTCAGCCCACGTGGTTCCAGCAACCAATTTCAGAGTGAACTTCTATGGTGCCAGTGTCCAGGCCTCTGCTCAACCCCTGTGGCACGAGCAACTAGTAAGGAGCAAACCTCCACAGCCCCTGTGTCCAAGCCTATCCTTGGCCTCTGAGACACCAGCAAACAGGCTAGGAAGTTAACCTCTGAGGTGCCATAGATCAGGATCTTGGGGTGGGGGGAGTCTCCCCCAAGAGCCAGAGATCTGTACCCAGCATGGCTCCCTTTGATACCGGCAAGGAGTCCTCAGAACAGCTCTACACCACAGACCCCACAGGACCAACCCAGGACTATTCCAGGTGCACACCTGGCACCAAGACAATTTCCACTGTGGCCTGTCCAGCTCTTACGATGACAGCTACAAAGCTCCTACACTGAGAAAATGATCCACTCAGACTTCTCCCGCCATCCTCTCTTTTCTTTCTTATTTTTCTTTCCTCCTTCTTCCAATCAATAGCTCCCCATGTTTGAAGGGAACACTGTCCATCAAGCTGCATTTATTAGCGCTCATGTTTCTAAAGCAAGATGGGTTACATTTGACTTTTTTAAACCACCATTTAAGAAATGACAGGCTATAACTTAAATACAGTATGCCATCAGTGTGGACTTTTCCCACCAAAGATGTGGGACTGTGTTCTTGTGGCTAATTTATTAAAATGTGGAATCTGTTCTTTAAATACAGATACCAGGAGAAATTATCATTTGCCTGAATACTGTAGCTAAGCATAAATATTTTAGAGCCTCCTAAAAAGAGAATTTTTTTTAAAGCCCAAATTAGTTAAGTTCCAAATCTTTCTCCAAGACCACTATATGGTACCAGTTTGCAACCAGTTTGCAAGAACTGGCTGGTTAACTGTGGGTACAGATAGTCATATCTCTCTTTGTCCCCACTGATAAGAAATGATCCCCCATCATCTTCCAATGAAACAAGTGTGCACACAGCTCTGACTTTCCCCTTCTATTGCTGCAACTTTACTCAGAGGGGCACATGCATGTTATTAAAAATTAAGTTCAAAACACTTAAAATAATTCTGTGTTAGAAATGACTCTATCATAAGTCTCTTCTTTTTGGAAGTCATGCTGGGCTGGTTAAATGCTCCATTCCATTGTTAACATTTAGGAAGGAGAAGAATATTCCAACTCGTTCAGATTAGAGGTTTAGTTACAACACTGACTCCTTGTTGGCTGTGTGGGTTTAGTAAGGTCTACTCCTCTTCCTCTGGCAGAAGTGGCTCCTGGATTCTGTGGTTCATTCTTTGGCAACTTTTTAGCTATTGCCATAAATATTTCATTTACATTCATTGATGTTTTCACTGATGTTTCCATGAATAATAAACTGTTATCATCTGCATAGGACTGTGCTTCCTGGAAATCTACTGCTCTTTTATTTGCTAGGTCAGCCTTGTTTCCTGATAAAGCTATTACAATGTTAGGACTTGCTTGCCTCTGAAGTTCTTTAACCCAGTTTTTTGCTCTTGCAAAGGATTCCTCATTTGTGATATCATACATGACTATGGCTACTTGTGCTCCTCTGTAGTACATTGGGGCGAGGCTGTGGTATTGCTCTTGACCAGCTGTGTCCCATATTTCAAACTTTACTGTTGTGTCATCGAGACACACAGTTTGGGTTAGGAAAGGAGCCCCAATGGCACTCTCCTGAAATTCACGAAATTGGCCCTTCACAAAAGGAAGCACTAGGCTTGATTTACCAACAGCAGACTCTCCCAGAAGTACTAGTTTGAACGGGCATATTTTATTTCCAGTATTTGGCCCGTTGGGTCTTGTTGCTCCTCGATTAGCCATGTCCAAATTTGATAAAAGTCCCTAATTTCAAACTTTAAAATGAACGTCCAGGATGCAGGGTGCTGATTTTTCGTGTTGGAGGTAGTAACCTGAGAGTGCAGCACGGGGGTCGCTGGGGGTCGCGGGGCGGCCCATCCAAGCAGCAGATCCTTAGGTGGGCCAGAAGGATGAAACCGAGGTTGAGACAGTGGCTTAGGTGGCAGCTCCGCTCCCCTCAGACTGGACCCTGCGGGGCTCTTGCAGCTGGTGCCACCCCGTCGGGCTCTGTCTCTGCCTCTCCCCACTCCGCCTTCTTCCTTCCTTTCTCCTCCTCAGTCACTGCTGGCGGCAATTGGTTCCGACTACTTCTTCCTCTTCCTCTTCCTCCCTCCTCAACCTCCTCCACTTAGGCCGGCCGCTGGCTTCTTCAAAAACCAAAATACAAACACCCAAGTCCAACCAAGCACGGGAACCACTTCTAACGACTGGCACCGGCCCCGCCTGAAAAGGTCCTTTAACAGAAATAGAATTCAGAAAAAAAATGATATTCAGGCACTCTCAACGGATGGAGGAAACCCTAAATAGGAGAGGCCCCAAAGGAAAACATCACAATATAGTGTAGTCAAACTCTCCAATTTCAAGAAAAAGGAGAGAATTCTGAGAGCAGCCAGGGGAAAAGCACAATCACCTACAAAGAAAAACCATTAAGAGTAAGCTCAGATAGCTCAGTAGAAACTGTGCAGGAAAGAAGACAATGGAGGGACATGTATAAAATCCTGAAATTAAAAAAACAACTGCCAACCAAGAATCTTAATCCAGCAAAACTACCCCTCATGAATGAGGGAGAAATAAGAGTATTTCCAAACAGGGAGACATTAAAGGAATTTGTGAAACTAGATCAGCATTACAAAAAAAAAAAAAAAAGCTGGTAGGAACACTATGGACAAAGAATATTAAGAGCAGACAAACTTGAGAGCAACATTCAGGACACCACCACGTAGAAAGAAGCACACTGACACCAGTCCTCAAGACAACACAGAAATAGAGGAAAACAAAGACCCCCCAAAAGCAATAGCAGCAAAATGACAGCAGCAGATGTGGACGTATCAACCATTGCCCCATGGCTACTCCAGTTTCATACACGCCTGCAATGGTTTGCAGTAAATTTCAATAGAAATTCATAACCAGAGGCGGCACAGTATACAGGTCTTGGAGGAAGTTATTTGACTTCTGTTGGTGGGTAACCTAGGGAGGGGAAGCTTGCCTTGGGAGAAATGCTTAACATTATTTATATTGAGTGCACCCCCCCTCCCTCCGGTGGGGGAATCTGCCCTGTATTACGTGCCTAATTTGCATTTCTTTTCCTTGTATGGTGACCCAGGCCTTCTGTTATAGGCTACCTGGATTTTAGATTTGGGATTTTTCAAGATGTGTATCATTTCTCATAGGCCACAATTGAAGGATCTGGTTTGGAAACCCCACTAAATGAACCAGACTTTACTTAAACACACCTGTTAAATATTAAAGAAAATAAAAAACTCCTTTGGACTCACAGCTGAAATGCTGTATAGCTAGAAGAAATAAATGAGAGCTATCCCAAGGTTGTGAATTCTGAAGTTATTGGACTATGGTTCAAATCTCTCACTTTTAAGATTACCCAATAATTGGCAAGTTAATGCTATTTTCATATTTTCTTTGCTTTTTGTGACATGGCTTAGTTCTGCAAATATAGTTTTGCCTTAGTGAATGAACATTATTGAAATTTTTTGCCTGTGTCTAATGCTCATTCTTTTCTTAAGCAGTGCCAGTCACATAAGTTTTCTAATCTGTATAAGTGAAAATTCTATATATTTTATAAATCCTGTATTTAAATATTCATTTTCTTACTAGTATTTTCAATTTTATATATTGGCTAGATTAATGATAGTATTATTAGAATTACCAAATGCCCCATGCAGCTTATAAATTAGTTCTCAAGAAGTTAATTATCCTGCCTCTAAAATGGACCAAGGATATATATAAACCTTAGATATATGAATTGATTTTGAATTTGATACTAGCCCACATGAAGTGATCACTGAAGATATGGGTGCTATAGCAAAGTGTAGTGAAGAAATTAGATGATGCCTGGCTATCAGAAAGAATAACATCTGGGTCTTAAAGCCTTGTCTTAAAACAAGAAGCCATCCAATGGAGGTGTCAGCTAAGCTCATACAGAAGGAGCACACCAACTTGTGTGATTCAAGGGTTGCTAGTAAAAAATTGTAATCAGAAGAGTGAATTGTATCAGAGCTTAAGTTCTGAGCACCCAGTTTGCAGAAATCTATAGATGACACTGAAAGACCAAAATCCATTTGAAAAGTCCCCTCATGGATTAAGCCTCTGTTAAATTCCCTCTTAACTAGAAGTGAATATGCTTGCCCTCAGAAAGATTGTATTGGAAAGAGAACAACCTCCACCCTCCGTGACCAGCCCGGGTAGGGGCAATCTCCCTTAGGGGCTTACCTGGGTGTATACTTAATGAAGATCAGCATACTGGGGTCACATAGTAATGAGTCATGCCTTGAATGCCTCCGGGAAATCTTTCAACCGATGTTGTAAGCACCTCTTCATTAAATTATGCATATGTTCCAATCATGTCCTCAGTCTCCCCCTGGGAGTCCTCCTGGGAACTATGTCTTATTGCTCTACCACCAATAATGTTTATGAGACAATTTTTCCGACCTCACAGATCCGTTTTTTTTTTTTTTTCAAAAGAAAGCCAAAAGTGTTAAATTTATTGAAAAGACAAAACTTAAGTCCTAGAAAGTAGATCAGCATTTTTCAGAGTCCAAAGGGATATGAAATTGTAAGCTATGTATCACAGCAAACATTTGGACACCACTATGACCTTGTGCTAATTGTCTCTCTCACCCACATGATAAGTCTCTGAAGTTGTCCTTCCCTTCCCCTTTTGAGACTGAATAAATGTTCTTTAAAAAAGAAAAGACTCTGGGCCCAAGGCTGTGTCCCTTAGCCACCCTTCAGATCTGGAACTGAACTCACTCCTGTGGTTGCATAATCAACTACTCAAGATCAGGAGTGCAGCTTATGTCCAAGACAAAACTCACAAAGTTGGAAAAGGAGGAGGAATGGAAGGAGGATACAGAAGGAGGAGGTGAGATGAGTGGTAGCACGTTGAAGGGATGACAATGTAAGTTGAGACAAAATATGTAGGACTGGTTGATGTAGTATAATGATCTGTTCTATAAACCTTCACCTAATTAATGATAGAAAGTTTAAAAGAAAAAGACACTGGTTCCTTGTTTGTTTTGTGTGGTGTTATTTAACTGTAGAAAGCTGACAGTTTGAGCTCCCTTCAGACTGGAGAGTTTGTGATTCCCTTCCTGAGAGATTGGCTCTGAAGTAGAGAAAGTATTTTGTCTGAGTTTCTGCCCAGTGCCATGTTGGAGGTCACGCTGACAATACCATGTTTCAAGGGCAGTTCTTCCCTCTTCCAGAAAAACCATATTCACTACACATGGCTGTCTTATGATTGGGGCCTTCAGTAGCTACTTGAGAATGTTTTGATATACATATGTGCATTTGAAAAATTCACTAAAAAGGAGTGGATTGTTTATTTTGTTTTCTCTAAGGTGGTCTTCAAATGACACACATCCAAAAATCTCAATTGCTTGTCTGAAAAACACTATGAAACATGTAGAAGATAGGGTTATGAAAATGGAATTTTATTCTACCTTTGATGGCATCCTCAATTTCGATGATTATATTCCTTATAATTGCCTATATAAATGATATAGTCCTAATGTTCTCAGAAATTAATAAAAGTGGACTCATTCATAAAAACAAAGGCTCTTATGTTTTATGTCAATCTAAAGACAGTCTCTAAAATATCTTAAATAATTTAAGCTAGATTGAGCATAGTATGTATTTTGTAAGGAAAAATGTAAGTTTCCCTAAGGAAGACAAACTGGTTATTCCAGAAAGTGTTGTTATTAGGTGCCTCCAGTTGGTTCTGACTCACAGGGACTCTGTGTAAACAAGACACTCTCTGGTTGTATGCCTTCCTCACATTGTGCTTATGCCTGAGTCCAGCATTGCAGGGACTGTGTCAATCCATCTCGTCAAGGGCTTTCCTCCTTTCCACTTGCCCTATTGCTTTACCGAGCATGATGTCCTTCTCCAGGGACTGGTCTCTCCTGACATGTCCAAAGTACTCCAGATGAAGTCTGCTCATCCTTGCCGCCAAAGAACATTCAGGTTGTATTATTCCAAGACAGATTTGTTTGTTCTTCTGACAGCCATAGTACTTTCAATATTCTTCATCAGCACCGTAATTCAAATTTTTAGTGGTATTTATATATTTCAAAAAGAGATTGACTCAAGACACACCCTCATACTACAGATTGCAACCTGCCTTATTAGCATAACTGCCCCTAATCCTGCTTCATTGACATCAAAGAGGTCAGGATTTACAATACACAGGATAATTACATCAGATCACAAAACAGAAGAAGGTTGCATAATAATGAGAGTCATGGCCCAGACAAGTTAACAAATACTTTGGAAAGCCACAGTTCTATCAATAACAGTATAGTATTATGTTTTATGATTATATGTTATATGTGAAGTTCTTTGAAAATGGAGTTGATTATTATTTTTAAAGATATTTTATCTAAAGTTTCATTAATTGATTTTATTTTGCTATGAATATTTTGCAAAGCATTTTCATCAGGTTAAAAAAAACCCCAACATTTGCATTAAGTTATATAACCATGGCCATTTAAAGTTTTATTGTATAAAGGAAAAAGTTCATGAAGTCTTTTGACCAAAATGAAACAATTGGATTAAACTCAGCTACTGCTGAGTTAAACAAGTCTATTTACTTGCCAGTCACTTTGTTGAACTGTGGGGCCTTGTGTGTCGCTATGCCACTTTTATTTCAAATGCCAGCAGGGTTAGTCATACCAAGTGAACAAGTTTCAGTGAAGCTCTCAGACTAAGAATAGACTACAAACAAATACTCAACTACCCACTTTGGAGGAAGTAATCGCTAAAAATCTTATGTGTAGCATGGAAGCATTGTCAGATACTGAAGACCTACAGAATGGAAGCC